TCCTGCTGGAGGGAAATGGGACAATAGTGGAGTTTTGTAGGACATGGGGACAGTTGGTTTGTTCCTCCTTGGGAGGTTTCATCTCACAAGGGGCAACACTCACTTCAACAATTATCTGCCCAGTCCTTGGTTCATGTAAGGGTGTTTATTCCACCATCCTGGCTGCTTTCCAGCCTTGGCAGTTCTCTTCAACTTCCTAAATTTCCCCTCGACTTGAATATGGTATTTTATTTTCCACACACCCCCCAAACCCCCCCCCTTTCCTGCCCTTTGGCACCTGCAAACAGTTGCTGTGTGCTCTTAAACAGCTTATGTTTCATGCTCAGAGAGGCTTCATCTCCACTCTGAGCAAAAAACATTCCTTTCCTTCCTCTTTTCTGCTTCTCCATGAGCATGTAGGTACGTGCACTGCCCAGGAACAGCTCTGAGGAGCCCAAGGGTCCATTTTGAGGCTAATGAGATGCAGGAAAGAAATGCAGAGTTTGCACCTCCCCTTGTCCTGCTGGCAGATAAACCCCAGCAACATTTCTAGGCTCAAAGTTTCAGATTAATGAAAGCTGCCTTGAGGAGCTCTTCTTCTTTCCAGTTAGGTATTGCTTCCCTTTGCAGAGTCCTCCCCAGCCTCTCCCAAACTTGCTTTGACCTAGAAAAAAAGCCTTTTGCTACAACAGCTGCACTTTATTACATCTTCACTGGTGGTCTCGTAGAGTTTTATTAGCCAAAGAAACAGATAAGTATAATCCAGACAATTATCATTAGGGGTAGTACATTGTAATCAGAGGCACATGTGCAGTAAAATCTCCATTCAGTTGTCCAGAGATAGTAGTTTTCAGACCAAAAATGGGAGGATTTGTTATGTAGAAGAAAGCAGTGGTAGATTTAGAGGAGTTGAGGGGTGTGGAGGCTCATATTGTTTAAATCCTTCTGCTTCTGGGGATGTGCAGTTGTTCAGAGTTTGGCTTTTCTGAGCCCCAAGAAGCTCTTGGCTCTGGGGATGGTTCCTTTGGCTCTGGGGAAGGATCCAAGCTCTGGTGAGAACGTTGCACATTTCAGCTGTGGGTTGGGCAAGGAGCTGGGAAAGGTCAGGAGGGTTCTGCTTCCCTCTTTGGGAGATGCCTGCTTAAATTGACACCAGATCAGCAGATCTGGGGCAAAAGGGGGGGGGGAAGAAAACCAGCTGGTTTATACTTCACTCTTCCAGTTCTTCACTCTGGTTGGGGTGAGGAGAGAGAGGTGGATGGGCTGGATGGGGGATTGGTGACAGCCTCTGTGCTGTCATCTTGGTGTGACATGTTGGGTGGCAGGATTTCAGGAAGGAAGCAGCTTAAATAAGCCAGGTGGTTTGGAGATCCACAGGCTTTAATGTTTTTGTGTGTGTGTGTGTTTGGAGTGGATTTTCCTTGCTGCAGGCTTTGGAGTCGACAAACTCTGGATGTCTGAGCCTCCCTGAGCACTGGGACATAGTGGTCACCCTGCTGTGGTACCACCCGTCTCCAGAACAAGAGGAAATGGCCTCAAGTTGTCCAGGGGAGGTTTAGATTGGATCTTGGGAATAATTTCTTCCCAAAAGGCCCTGGCACAGGCTGCCCAGGGCAGAGGAGGAGTCCCCATCCCTGGCAGGATTTCAAAGCCATGTAGATGTGGTGCTGAGGGACATGGGTTAGTAGGGACTGGACGGTGCTGGAGTAATGGTTGGACTGGATGATTTGAAAGGTTTTTTCCAACCCAAATGATTCCATGATTGTGGATTTCTGTCCCCTTGCCTTGGAGTGTGTCCTGCTGCTGCCACCAAAGCCAAGGGGCTGGTGGGGGACAGGGAGAGGCTTTGGCAGGGGTGTCACAGCAGGTGCCACCACCTGGGACTTGTATCCCCACAGCAGGAGATCCCAGAGGTGGATCCAGGAGCCATTCCCAGGATACATAAATTCTATTAGAGCTGGGTGCCAGCAAATACCTGAAGGTGATACCACCTCCTGTTATCCAGGGAGCAGGGAGGGGGCTCCTTCTTCTCCCCATGACCAGCATCCTGGAGCTGCTTTTCCTCCTCCCCAGGGGTGCCAGGAACCGGAAGCAGGAAAAGCAGCTTTCATGTCCTTAACGAGCCCCTAATGAGGATTTGGTGCACAAAGCCACATGGCTGCTGGCCCCCCTCCTGCCTAATCCCCAGCTCTTCTTCCTCGTTGCTCTCCTCAGAAGGGCTGGTTTTCATTCCCTCTTCCTGGTGGGTGGACGGGCCGGGACGGACGCGTGGGCAAGGGCTGAGGAAAGGCAGGGGACCCCCCCCA